GATAGATGTGGTGCTTGAGGACATGGTATAGTGATGGACTTGGCAGTGTTAGGTTAACGGTTGGACTCGATGATCTTAAGGGTCTTTTCCAACCTTAAAGATTCTATGATTTTATGATATAAATATGCTTAATATTACTGGACTACTGGTACATAGAATTTAATTTCCCTTCATCCCCTTAAATGATTTAAAAGAAGAATGAGCCTTATGTAATGGCTGGACAGCTGGTGTATTTGTATTGAGAAAATGTTTATTACTTCTGACTGGCTTTTGAATTATTATATACAATAATGCAATGCCTACACAAGGTAAAAGGCAGCTTTCTAGTGGAAGGAATGGGTGACTGAATTTGTTGTTGGCCAGGACGGTATTTTGCTCTTTTTTCACAACTTCGTACTTGAATTTTGTACATCTTGTAGAACGCATATTGAGCGACACCCTGCAGATCTGCTTGGCCTGGTTAAAAGGGAAAAACGATGTTGCTTGTAAGACTGCATATTGAAAGACAATGGGTATGTAAGCCCCCAAAGGTCAGCTGTGTGAAATGTTAGCAGGTTATGTTTTGTCTTAGTCGATAATATGAGCTGATCAGGCATGCATCAATCTGTGCCAGTAGCGGCCACACTCGTATGTTGTATACTTTTGCTTCTGAGTTTAACTGTCTTAGAAATTTGATGTGCTTGCAAAAGACCAACCATGATGCCTTTGTTATAGTAAATGTGGTCTTTTTCTGTGGTTATGAAGGAAGGACTAACAAAATAAGTTTAAAATAGGGAGAAGTGGCCCAATTCATGGGTTTATAGCTTGTAATTTTAAAAATCAAGTCTCATTACTTTCCATTGTAGCCTGCATCTCTAATCTGTCAGATGCTATTTTGAATATTTTGTGAAGTGACTTGTTATCTTGGTGACAAGATCTATTCTTCTTTCATCGTACATGCTCTTATAGTGCAATGTGTTGAATGCTTGCATTCTTAAAGGTAATTTTAATTTTGTAGGGTAAACAGTAATTCTAAAATCCCAGTTTTTCTCTTGAGATTTAACTAAGTATGAGTGCAAGATACATAAAAAAAATCTTGGACACTTGATTTGTAATAGCATAGTGCTGGAGACCTATGTTCAATTTATGTGTGAGACTGAAGCTTACAGTGCTACTTAGCCTCCTGGTGTGATGAAATACAAATATGTAGAAAATACACTTGAATCTTTTTGTCCTTTTAGTATGTATTTTAACAGAGGGAGAACAGGGGCATACTCTAGCTAATCTCGGTAGTTTGAGTTTTAGTGGAAGATGGGAGGGAGAATTGACTAAAGGCCTGGCAGAATAACTTATCAATCTGCTCTCCTTATTGGTGGCTAAAGAAGTGATGGGGTAGGAACAGTATGGGGTTTTCACCTGGGTTTGCAGCGTAGCAATGTAGAGCAGTAAGTGCAGATACTCATTCTGTATGGGGAAACGGGATAAGAGCTTTTCCTTGTCCCTGGACTTAAACCTCACCCCTGCAAATGAATGACTGAAATAAAAGGTTTTGTAGGGAAGGTACTGTACTATCTACTGTATGGCCTTAGAAGTTGAATGTGTCTGTTAAGGCACTAAGTACCTACAAAATATGCTACTGCTCTGCCTTCTCAGAGATTTTTGCTGAGTACACTGCACTATGGTTGGATTTTTAGTAAGCCTTAACCGTGCATCTGAACCATTGTAAGCCATGCAATAATCGTACTGTTACGGACTGTTAGCTTGATTGATTTTCCTACTTCTAAGTAATTGCATAGGAATTTCACATTCAAAATGGTTCATGTGTGCTTTAAGAATAAATAATTTTTCAGGCTTGTGATGCTGTGAGCAGAGCCACTTATGTAGCAAGTGTCAGTTGCTTTCGAGGCTGGATGTCAGAGAAGAAATATTAGGTTCAGTACACGCGTGTAGGCATGAAACAAAGGAAAAAAAAAAAAACCAAAACCAAACCAACACTGGGGGAGCAGAAGGAGGTTTGGTGAGTTTGGAAGCCCTTCCATAGTTGCTGGCTGTGTTTTTGGATGGCTGTCAAATTCTGTTTGTTTTGGTGGTACAATTTTGAGTCCTGCAAAACCACAAGAGAGCAGCTCATTTCCTTCTTTGCCATCAGGACTCTCTACTTTGAGGGTGGTAACCTACCTATTATGATCAAGAGTCATATCTATTGAGTACAGCCCAAGCATTAAAATACTGTGATCCTGCAGCAACACCTGATAAAGCTGTGAAGGAAGGTGCTAAATCATAACGTATGGCTCAGCATACACATTATGTGTTACTTTCTTTGCTAGTGGAGTTTGAAGTTAACGTTTATACTTTATAGGAATTTTTGCTTTTCTAGATACTTAACGCTGAAACTGAGAAAAATGCTGTTGGGTGGTACAGCTGTGGTTCTAAACTTTATTGTGTGATAGGAATTGTAATGCGTAAGGAATTGCTGTTCAACAGAACACTAAACTGGAAACTAGCTTTTGAAATGTGCAATGAGAACTGATCTTTTTCTTTTTTTTGTTTAAATAAAGCAAAAGTGCATACTCTTGAGTTAGTTTTTTTTTTTTAAAAGCTTTATTCTGAACATTATTTCTCTGATCTGCTTCTAATGTTTAATCTGTGTAGGTTGAAATACCTGTGTAGTGAGAAAAACTGTAGTGCTAAATGTACGATCAGCAATGGAAAAAGAACGCCTATGTTTCACAGGTCCTGAAACCTCTCTTTCAGCTGATGCAGTGCTCCAATTATTGAAGTTTATTTTCTGTAACAAGCAACAACCCAGATATTACTAAAGACCTCTTTCAGCTTCTTTGTGGTTCTGTGAAGTGTTGAGCTGCTTTCACAGGAGACAGTGAAAGATGGGAACATTCAGAAGAATTGTGCAGTATTTTTCCATAGAATTTAGATATTGTTGCTCAAGGCAAATGCTAAGAATTTGAGGGGTGTTTGTTCCAGTGTTGAGAGGGCAGGTATAAAGTAAGTGACTTAGTGCACTTCAAAATACAGGTGAGGAAAACACCTTAAAGAAAGCTTGAATATCTTTTCTTTCTTCCAACTTGAACATATAGTTCTTCAGTCAGTGTCTTATTTTGCTAGCCTATGGGTTAAATTGCCAGTATGGCCATTGGTATTACTTGTGCTCATGCAGCTGGGTTATGGGATGAGATCCTTTTAAATACTTTGCCACAGCTTCTAATATGTATATTCAACAAGCAAAATCTGTGGGCTTTGTGGGTGTTCTATAGCAGTTGCCAGGACTTCTAAATAGTACTACTGGGCTTTTTCTTTTTCCAGACAGTTTTGTTGATGTTTGGTTCGTACCTTATTTTCAGAGGGATAGATGATGGATACCTAAAGCTTAGGTAGTCTCATAGTAGCTCTAGTTGACTATTGACAGCAGACATTATTTGAAGGAATAATTCTAAGCTTTTTCTTCTTTCTCTACTTCATACTTCCCACCACTATCCTACTCCCTACTCTCCAGAATGTTTCTCAGTCTAATTTTTTGTTGTATTTCAGGGAATACCTTGGAAAGCAGTTGCAGTCAGAACAACCTCAAACGGCCACTGCACGGAGCTAAACACTTCTGTCAGTTCATGCTTATAACTACAGTATGTTTGTCTTTAATATCAAGGAAACACTGAAATCACATGTTCTTTGCCTGCTACTAGTGCATAACCTTTCCAGCTTTCCTCTAGTGTTGTTTGCTTAGTAAAAATTTGTTTGTTCAACTAGTTCTGATGATTATGCCTATTAGCTTCGTGTTATATTCTGAATGTATATGAGGAAATGTGGCTAATATATTGCGTTTGTTTTATGTATTTATTCTCAAAATAAAGAATGTTATTAAAGTATATTCATTCCATGTTATAATTAGCCTAGAAACATTGTTCTCTTCTTTTAGTGGGTTATCAGTGTTGTCACTTTGCAAGAAAAGCAGGTAGCCCTTATATGTCTCCAGACAAATTAATAAAGCTTTGACTTGGTGTTCAGTAGGAAACGCAATAGCCTGAGAAATGTACTAAAATATATACCAAGTCTCAAAACAGTGTTTAAACTGTTTTTTTCACAGTTTTAAACTTGTTAAAAGCAAATGTATGGGGTTTTTTTGGGGTGGGGTACTTCTCTCTTGTTAGAGGCTACATTAAAAAAATCTGGACATGAGAAGAGCAAAAGGAAATGAACACTCTTCTAGTGAAAACTGATACACTTAAGATTATTAATCAAGCTGTATAACACCAGTGTTAAGGCTGTAGATCAGAGATCAGGTTGTTGTTTTTTTTTAATAACAAATGAACTGATGAACTTGGAATTTCATAGAGTGTTTTTGTTATTGAAAATACTTGTAAATGTTAGGGTTCTGGTGTAATTCTAAAATCTATTGTGTTTCCTTTATATTAAGCCAAGTAATTTGGCTATCAATCTCTTCTGTGTTTTGTAGCTCCTGATAGTAAAAAAAGACGTAAGCATCAATAAATCAAAGATGATATTGGATTGCCATGTGAAAACAGTCTTGTTGCATATATAGGAGCTTGGCTCCGGGCACTTGCAACACTAAGTTAATTTGCTTGTGATTCATTTTTTAGAAAGAAAAAAAGATGAGAGAATATGACTTAATCTCCTCGGTAGTCTTGTGTGGTGCAAATCTCTGAGGAAGCTTAGAGTACTCCGTCATCAAGTAAAAAAGCAAATTGGGAAAACTTTTCTTACCTATTCTGGATTTTCATCATGTATAACTAAAATTTAACCACTGTTGCAATGGAGAGAGAAGACATTTAGGGGATGATAGTTTGATTGCTTGGCCTGCTAAATTAAAATTGGATTGTGTAGATTAATGACTATTGCTTACTTCTGCATATAGGAGGCAGAAGGTTTGATATCTGTTGTGGTTTAATCCAGCAGACAACTAAACACCACACAGCTGTTTGCTCACTCCCGCCCCCCCCCCCCGCCACGCGGCGGGGGGGGGGAGGCGCATGGGTTGAGATAAAGACAGTTTAATAGGACAGCAGATGAAGAGAAAATAACAATAATGATAAAAGAATATACAAAACAAGTGATGCACAATGCAATTGCTCACCACCCGCAGCCATCGCTTGCCCCCAGTTTATATACTGGGCATGACGCGCCATACAGTGGCGTAGCCCTTTGGCCAGTCTGGGTCAGCTGTCCTCGCGGTGCCCCCTCCCAGCTGCTTGTGCCCCTGGCAGAGCATGGGAAGCTGAAAAGTCCTTGACCAGTGTAAGCACTGCTTAGCAACAACTAAAACATCAGTGTGTTATCAAGGTTATTCTCATCCTAAATCCAAAGCACAGCACTATACCAGCTACTAGGAAGAAAATTAACTTTATCCCAGCCAAAACCAGGCCAATATTGAAGTTAGTATCATAAGGATAGATGCTGAAGCCTGAAAAGAATTAAACTGACTTTAGTTGGACTGGGGGTTATCTGAATGGATCTTATCTCAGCGCTGCATGTTCCCACAGTGATGAGGTGGTGGTGTGGGAAGCTGGTGGGAGAATAAGGGTACACCTACACTGCCATTTTTATCTTGGTTCAGTTGAATGCTCTTGAAATAAATCTCTGAGTCTTCCCTGCTTTTCACACTTCAGTTTGATGATATCAGTGCATGAATGGGGTTCTTCTCTGATAAAACTAAACTGCAGGATGTACATTCTGGGTGTGTTGGCTACTTGGCAAGTGTTCAGTCCACCTGACCAGGTAAGTTTTGTTTGAAGGACCGCCCTTTGGAATGCATGCAGAGTAAAAGCTGGATTCTTAGCGCCAAATGTCTTGCTCCACAAGTCAAATTCTCATGTCACGCTTCTTGCTGAAGTAAGCATAGCCTAGGACTTATCTTGAAGATGCTGTAAAAAGTTGGTCCTGTGGTTACAGCTGTAATGTAGGGCACAAGAACGATGACAGAGCATTAACGGGGAAGGAATATACCCCCATCTTCAAAAGCAGAAGTTTGTGGTGTTTCCTTGACTGAAGGGAACACTGAAGCACTGCTCGGTAAGGGGATTTGGGGTTGAGTTGTATGAGTAAAGACAATGAATGCTACCAATGGCAACCCCTCCTGCTTTTTGGGTGCTAGAAATAACCAAGCTATTCATAACACGAAACAAAATTGCTTACAGCGGTTGTCCAGAAACATCTGAATATTGTGTTCATGTATCATACAAATAAATTCTCTCTTGCTTTGTTAGTATTACTCTGTGCATAGTTTAATTCTTCGTTATGTGGTCTGTTTCCAAGCTACATGATATCTGGCATTCTCCTCCATTTAGTTAGATATGTGTTGGAGACAGAAGAAGGTATTTAAAGAAATGATTGTGATGTTTCACTTACATCAGTGTGCAGTATTGATACTGTGGTGCCTGTGAAACCTGAAAGCCATGCAATTTCCAGCCCCTGATGGTAACATTTGGGTGGCTCAAGGGTTGTGGTCTCAGGGAGTTCATGCCAACAATTGTACAGTAAGCTTGGGAACTTGGGTGTGGGGGTGTGTTATGGAGGACCTTTCTGCGCAGCCAGTCATTTGTACTGTGAAGTTGCCAGAGATGAGATTTCTGCAGGAGTTGGAGTGCTCACTGTGTCCTAGAGGTTCTGGGGAATCTTGGCATAGCAGGGAGCTGCAGACTGGTTTCCACTGTAGGTTCTCCATCTGGCAGGCCTGTACCTGTAGGTGCTGGAAGGCCTTGGATCCAGGGTCTCAAGAGAGAAAATAGGGCAGAACTGTCCTGGAGTTTTTAACCTTTGAAATCAGGAAACTCAACCAAAAGCTTTTGTTGAATTTCAACTAATTCATAAAACTTTCTACTGCATCTGGGTTTTGTCCAACAAGTTGTAATTACCTTTAGCTTTTGCTACTGAGCACTGTTTTTACTGTTCATCTGTTTGCATTAGCTCACGTAACTTGCTCAGCCTTATTCTCCCAAAATCTGGCATAGGGCAGGTAGGCAGATGCCATGGTGGCAGATTGAACGCTTCAGGGCTGTGTGATGACAGCATGGGCAGAGCTCAGTGTTAGGAAGAGAAGTGTGTGCCAGCGGCTTGCTTCCTTCCTTCCCTCTGGTGACATGAAGATTTAGAGATGACTGGAGATTAGCTCCACGGACCAGATGACTAACTTTCCTCTAAAGTGAGGAGATACAGTTACCTTCTTCCAAATTAGGGTAATCAGTCTTTATGAAATTTTTCTCCATTTTCCTAATTTTTGTTTTTACTCTTATGTTGCATCCAAGAATAAATGGAGTTTAATTTTCCTATAATGAAAGTAACCAAGTCTTTGGAATCTTTATAAGCTGACTTTCAAGTTTTGCATTTGAGGCTTTTTTTTTGCTTTTCATGATACATCTGCTTAAAGGATTTTCTTTAAACTTTGGTCTTGGTCTGAAATCTAAATGGGAAATAAATTTGAGTAAATTTGCAAGATGCAGCAACTGTGAAAAGAATGTAAACCTGTCGCAATTCAACGCAGGAGAGATGGAGGGGAACCATGATGAACAGTACTGACATCTGGAACTAAGGCAGGAAAACGCTTTAATCATATGCTTAGTGCATGTTTATTATTCCCACAAGCCATTTGAGATTTTAAGGCCTGGATGAGATCTTAAGCTGGATGAAGAGGAGGCCAGATCTTGGTCTTGGCCAGTGAGCTACTCTGCTAGAAAGAAACCAGGGCTGAGCAGGAGACAAGCTGCCTGGGCCCTGGGTGTACCACGCTGCATCGAACCTCTTCAGCATCTCATCACAATTGCAAAAATGTCTTTGTGCACCTGCATGAACAAATGAAGATTGTCAATAGCTTCTAATACCCAGACCTGCTGGGTCAATATTTTTTTTTTCGTGAATATGACATGCTAGTTTTAGCCCAGTAAATGACAAGGGGTCAGAAGGCATCCATCTCTATCCAAAAGCTTTTGCTTTTCCCTTTGGCAGCTTCTGCAGAGTAGTTGTGAGTTGCCTTTTTAGGATCACGTGCTGTGTCAGAGATGAGAACAGAGCTAGTGCTCTCACGATGATCAGGTATGTTATTAACTTGATTGCATTCACTTTCTTTTAAACTCCAAAATGATTTTTCAAAAAATCTCAACTGCTGTTGAAATTTTCAAATGGCCAAGGGTATCATCATTCAAATACCACAGAAAGCAGCAGCCTTGCTTGCAAATGTTAGGTGCAGCATTTAGGGAGTTACCTGGGAACTCTTCTTACCTTGAGGTATGCATATTTCATCAGTACAGCCGGTTCGGAGATGCATCAGACACTGCTGAACATGAATGATGTGCTAAAAACTGTTAATATCCTTTATTTAAGAAATTTTTTCATGACCTGCCCCTTGGCCTTACTGCTGCTTGTAAGGTAAGTTGCTGTACAGTAAGGAGCCTAATAAAAACCAGAAATGAAATAATGGCTGACTGTTATGCAGAGTGTCTTGTTTCTGTTACTTGGTTCTATCCAAGAACATTTCTGTGCTATGGGAACGTAGTTTTTCTTGGGGGGAAGACTTAAAAAGGAAAAAAATCCCTCTTCATATAAAAGTGGGCAGTGGGACAATAATTTTTTTTTTTAACCTCATAATCTCGCAGATTTTCCCAGAAGTGCACAATTTGTCCCTCTGCATGAAAACTAAATCTGCAGAAGGGAACAATTAAGTTTTTCATGAGTCATCTTTGGTGCCATTGTGTGCATATTCATGATATCATTTTTTCAAGGCACTTCAGTTAGTTTGCCTTGTCTGGATTCTGTGTAGAGACAAAACTGTCAAGCTGAAAATTTAAATAACTTTTTCAGTGTCATCATAAACTATTTTAAAAAGGCTGCACACATCCAGCTCTGCCAAAAAAATGGGCAAAGAAATTGGGCAGCTGATTGTGGCAATGACAGTTAAAATGTACTGATTTGGAAATCACAAAACTGCTACAGCATCAGATTATTTTGTAGCAAAAAAACATGATAAATT